ACCGCCGCGCGGGCCCCCACTCGCTCGGCGTAGTTGCCCTTGCGCAGCAGGCGGTGCACTCGCCCCACCGGGAACTGCAGGCCGGCGCGGGAAGAGCGCGACTTGGCCTTGGCGCGGGCCTTGCCTCCTTGCTTGCCGCGACCAGACATGACAGCACCTAGCCTGAACCGACCAGCTCCTCCTTGGCTACCGAGGAAATCGCTCCAAACGCCGCCGCTTCACCCCTTTATAGGCAGAACGGGGATCGCCCACGGAGCGCTCTGATTGGCCGCAGCATAGCTTTGTCTTGAAGACCAATGGGGTCGCTCGGCCAGGATCCGCTCATTTGCATAATCTCGGCTCCCTCGCCTTGGCGCCGCCGAAAACTCGCGAATCACAACGCGCCGTCCGCGGAGCCTTCATTTGCATACAGCCTCTATAAGTACCGAGTCCCTTCCGGTAGGCCCCCTGTCCTTCTGCCGCGCTCGCGTCCCGGGTCGGTTTTTTTTGCAGCTCCTGCCACTCGCGCTCCTCGCCATGCCCGAGCCGGCCAAGTCCGCTCCGGCTCCCAAGAAGGGCTCCAAGAAGGCCGTCACCAAGGCCCAGAAGAAAGACGGCAAGAAGCGCAAGCGCAGCCGCAAGGAGAGCTACTCCATCTACGTGTACAAGGTGCTCAAGCAGGTCCACCCCGACACGGGCATCTCGTCCAAGGCCATGGGCATCATGAACTCGTTCGTCAACGACATCTTCGAGCGCATCGCCGGCGAGGCGTCCCGCCTGGCGCATTACAACAAGCGCTCGACCATCACGTCCCGCGAGATCCAGACGGCCGTGCGCCTGCTGCTGCCCGGCGAGCTGGCCAAGCACGCCGTGTCCGAGGGCACCAAGGCGGTCACCAAGTACACCAGCTCCAAGTGAGCTCCTCCCGGGACGCCGCGCTCGCTTCCGCGCGGGTCGCCGGCAGCTTCACTCCAAAGGCTCTTTTCAGAGCCACCCACTCTATCACTGAAAGAAGCCGTGCTGGTTCTGTCTAAATGTGTCGTCCCTTTTTGAGTTATTGCTCCTCTTCGTTTTACATTAAAGGTGTATTAAGTTTGGGTATTCAATTCTACAGATAGTGTCAGTGTCGATAAGGTTAAGAGTTATACGTTGTAGAACTGTTGGGACCTGATTGAGATTTTTGTTTTCCTCGTGAGTGCTAGCCTCATCTGTTTATAGTGTAATGCGTAAGTTTGCTGAGTAAGGAAGCAAAGTTAAGGCAGTCATTCAACTTTAACATTCTGTATTCTTTTGGCACGTCTTGTGTTCACTAGAGTACCTGGCTATCCTATTACGTGGAGATTACCCGATAACGGAGGTAGGCGTTTTATTTTTGAGGTATTAACTGGGTGGGTGGTGGGGTTGTAATAAGGACAGCACTGGAATCACATACGGTTTGGGGCAGTGAGGAAGATCCAGAGTTCTATTTTGGAATTTGAGAAGCTATTTGATCTTCATGTGGATTTATGGAGTCGGTAGTTTCAGAGCTGCATGTAGGGCTTAGCAAAATCAAACATGCCTATAAGGACTCACTACCTCTTAACACAGACAGCAGTGGAAATAAGGGGGATCGCCTTAAAGTATTCCTCTAGACTTGTTTCTTACGTGTTTGTCACAGTATAATTTAGTAGTTGATAGTCCTATGTTATGTTTGTTAGTGTTTCTGTAGTACTTATTTTTCGAATTCTGATTCTACTAGAGTATTGACCTATGTATTTCCCAGAAAGCATATTTAAACCACAATGGTTAGCGTTGGCCTGATTGGTTTGAATATTGTCCTAACTGCATTACCACTGTGACTGGTTCATGAATTTAGACCAATCTGTGTTTTAACTTTTCAGAAGTTGAACTGAATGTGTAGTGTAGAATACTGGTGGGGTGTGTGTGTGTGTGTGTGTGTGTGTGTGTGTGGGTGGTGTGAAAGAGTTGATTTCTTTCAAGAGGCCGTGGCAGGAGGTGATGGTATGAGGGTGAGAAGGCGGGAAAGACTACAGACAGACATAGAAGGGCTCAATGTGGGAAACAGAACCCAGCCCGTCATGGAGTTCCAGTAACGCTCTGAGCCTGGCTGTACCTTCTGACTACCAAGTAAGCGAGTTAGTCTGACATATAATTTTTTTTTTTTTTTTAAGTTTTTGCTGTAGGGCGCATGTGCTCGCCAGAAAGACAGTGTGACAGACAAAAAGGGAGAAATCACCACCCAGGGGGGGATGGCCACACCGCAACCTCTTCTCCATTCTTCTCAGGATCTTGGGACTGCACGCACATGCGCCTGGCATGAGTTTAAGCCACCAGGTGTGGGACTTGAACCATGGTCGACTACATGGGAGCCCAGTGACAGCCATTACGCTAACTTCTGGTCCCCTGACATACTCTTCTTAAGTCAGCCAGAATATTAATGTATTTTAGCAATAATAACAATTTCCCAGAATAAAGTAAAAGGTGATAGACCTTTCATATCGAAAGTCAAAGAAAAATAGGACCAATGAAAGGAAGATAGCTGCTCTCCAAGCACATGTTTGGAGCAAATGCCCAAGTGTTAAAGTCAGTATTTGACCAAGGCCAAAGATCAGTGTTAACGATCACCAAAGAAATGTCTAAGATTAAGAAAATTAAATTTTTGAAATTTTACTTAATTCTATTAAAAATTTGAGCATTATTATTGGTTCTTAGTAGTTTGCCATATGAAGTACCACAAACCAGATGGCTTAAAACAGTTTATTCTCTCATAGACCTGGAAGCTAGAAATCCAAAAACAAAATATTGGCAGGACCAGGCTCACTCCAAAGCCACTGTGGAATTGGAGGAGGAGTGGTGTCCTTAACCTTTCAGTGTCTGGTAGCTTAAGTCCAATCCCTGCTTTAGTCCTCTTTCTGTGTGTCTTTATGTCTTCTTATAAGAATACCAGTCATATTGGATTAGGGTCCACCCGAATGACCTTATTTGAATTTGATTATATCTGCTAAGACCCTATTTGTAAATAGGATATAATTCTAAGGCACTAGGAGGGGATTAAAGTTCAGCATATCTTTTAGGGGGACCCAGTTCAAGCTTAGACAGTAGTTAATAATTGTGGTAGACTGAATATGGCTCCCAAATGTGCCCAAATTCTAATCCCCAGAACCTGTGAATATTACCTTATATTCCTAAAGGGACTTTACTGATACGATTCTGTGATTGAAGTAGCCTGGGTTATTTGAGTGGGTCCCACCTGTAACCATGAAAGTCCTTATGAAAAAGAAAGAAGGTGATCAAAAGAGGAAGGAGATGGAAGTAGTGATTTGAAGATGGAGGAAGCAACCATAAACCAAGAAAAATCCCACTATAAACTAGAAGAGGTATGGTGATGAATTCTCTCCTAGAGTTTGTGGAGGGAGCACAACTTTCACTACCTAGTGAAACTTATTTTGTACTTCTGATCTCCAGAATTCTTTTTTTTTTCTTGCAGGTTTTTCCCTATAAGGTGTGTGCGTTCTCCAGAAAGACAGAGAGAGAGACAAAAAGCAAGAAATCACTCCCCAGGGGGGATGGCCACACCACAATCCCTTCTCTGTTCTTTCAGATCTTGGCATGCCCAGCATGAGTGTTTAAGCCACTGGGTCTGGGACTCAAACCGCTGTCAAATACATGGGAGTCCAGTGACATAGCCATTATGCCAACTGCTGGCTCCTGATCTCCAGAATTCTAAGAGAACAAATACGTGTCATTCTAAGTTACAAAGTTTATAGTAATTGTTACAGCCACCATGGAAGCTCATACAACTCATATAGGCAATAGTTTTTGAAAATGGGAAAAATTTGAATATGACTTGCATGTTAGATAATATTGAATATTTATTAAATTTGTTGGATATAGTAACAGTATTGTAGTTGTATTGGACAATATCCTAATTTTTAAGAAAGACACTATAGTATTTAGGGAGAATCGTCAATATTTTGCAAGTTATTTATAGTTTAGGGAGAGACTTTATCTACCTAAAAAGAGAAAGCACTTCTGGCCCAACACCTAGTGAAGCAAGAATCCACGTGCATATGAGATGGGCCCAGCCCTGCCCCTTTAACTGAAAAGCCTCTGCCCCAAACCTCTCCTTCCAGTCCAACACCTAGTGAAGTGAGATAGTGGGGTCTGTCTTCTTTCTGTCTCTGTCTCTCTGTCTCTCTCCCTTTCCCTTTCTCTAGAAATTTATTTATATATATATATATACATATATGGTTTTTTCTTAAATCTGTAAGTACTGTCTCTTGTCTCTCTCTCCTTTATCTTGCTAAGTTCAGAATCCATGTGCATCTGAGGTGAATCCAGCCCTGCCCCTTTAATTTTTTTGCCTTTAAAAATTTCCACCCCCCCCTGGGAACCAGCAGTTAGCATAATGGCTATGTCGCTGGACTCCCACGTAGTCGACCACGGTTCGCGTCCCGGACCCGGTGGCTTAAAACACACCGGGTGCGTGTGCGTGCATGCCCAAGATCCCGAGAGGAGAATGGAGGAGAAGGGATTGCGGCGTGACCATCCCCCCTGGGGGGGGTACTTTCTCATTTCTGTCTCTATGTCTCTCTCTGTCTGGCGAGCGCACGTGCCCTATAGCGAAAACCTCTCAAAAAAATTTTTTTTCCCTTTTCTTTTTTATTTTTTTTTTTGTCTCTTTTTAAAAAATTTGTCTTAGGGGAACCAGCAGTTAGCGTAATGGCTATGTCATGCAGTTCGCATCCTGGACCCGGTGGCTTAAAACTCACACCAGCCGCGTGTGCGTGTGTGCCCAAGATCTCGAGAGGAGAATGGAGGAGAAGGGATTGTGGCGTGACCATCCCCCCGGGGGGTGATTTCTCACTTTCTGTCTCTATGTCTCTCTCTGTCTGTCTGGCAAGCACACGTGCCCTATAGCGAAAAAAAAAAAAACCTCTCCAAAAACAAAAAAAAGAATAAATCAAAGGATGAAATATTAGTACAGAGTTTCACAGACATCATTTCTGCCATAAAATAAAATTATGTTAATTGACAGAATTTTAGCATATAAGGAGTATTTTCACTCCAAATTATATTTAAAAGATTTACATATGTTTGAGAGTGACCATTCATATATTAGCTGTAACTCCAAATGAGGTCTCTTGTTCACAATACTTTGTTTACTCATTAGAGGTAATGCAATGGTAACTTTTGTCATTGCTCTAGTCCAGGGAAGCCCCAAATAATAGTGACATAGACATTTGGTTATTCTCTCTACAGTTAAAACTGGAGGTGGACAGAGCATTTCAGTCCAGTACTGAGAGCAAAACTGAACTGGGCCAGCCAATGGTATGTGGCAGTTAAGACAGCTGAATCCCCACATGGCTGACTGTGTGGTGTGAGTCCCAGACCCATTAGCTTAAGAAACACACCAGACACAGTGACTGTGTGCCCAAAATATCAAGAGGAGAATGGAGGAGACAGGATTGTAGCATGGTCATCTCCTCTGGAGGGTGCTTTCTCACTTTCCCTCTCTCTCCCATGAGCACAGATGTCATATAGTGAAACTATGAATGAATGAATGAACAAATGAACGAATAAAGCTGAGGGATTCCAGGGTAAAGAGGCATATCTATACATGTTATAGTGATTCTAAATACTTCCAGAAATAGTAGATCATCTATTAAACAAGAGTCAGACTGAGAGCAGATCTGATCAATTTGACCCTCAACTCTTCCTTGAACTCGAGTCTCCTATTTCTTTCTTCTCTTTTTTTAAGAGAGATTTTTGCTATAAGGTGTGTGCACTTGCTGGAGAGACAGAGACAGAAAGACAGAAAGTGAGAAATCACCCTGAGGGGTGATGATCATCATGCAATGCCTTCTCGTCTATTCTCCTCTTGGGATTTTGGGCACACATGCCCACATGCCCAGCCTGAGTTTCAAGCCACCTGGTCTGGACTTGAACCAGAGTCAGTTACATGGGAGTCCAGTGACATAATCGTTATGCCATATGCTGGTCCCAGAATTCTCAAATTTTTTTAATGCCTTTTCTATTTTCAGCAGAGAAAAAGAGAAGGAATTATTGCAGGGAAGGTGCAAATATTTTTAAAGTTAGGATGTTTTACAATACAAGGTGCTGGAAAACATGACAGACAACAACAAATAAAACAAATAACAATCAATGCAAGCTGGGGGATAGTATCTGGAGGTTGTTTTATAATTAGTGGGCCAGGATCATTGAAATGCTTAGCAACTACAAACCATTTGGTTTCCTAACATACCAAACTATGATATAGCTATGGGGAACCGTGTAGGCATTATACCAAACCATGCACTATGGTTCAGATGCTGTGGTGGTTGAAGCACTGGGCTCCCACAGTCCCAGACCTGGTAGCTTACTTTCTCTCTCTCTTGCTCTTGATCTGTCCCTCTCTGGTCAAAATAAATAAATAAATAAAACTAAATAAAATAATTCTTTTTAAAAAAGGTTTACTATCTCTTAACATCAATCTTTATTGTATTTTAACAGTGTTTAACATCCTGAAACTGAACAATTAAGTATGTATTAATTCAGTGTGCCTGAAATACCAAATTAAGACAAAAGAGGACTGTGTAAAGTATAAAACTGCCTCAAGGACAAATTAGAAGTAACTAGGTACATTAGTACAATATTTTATTATAGGTACTGGGGTGTGATTTCCAAACATTGTTTTATTTTTAAAAAGAGTTGAGATACATCTATAGAAATGCAGTTCTGGGGGACCAGCAGTTAGTGCGATGTCTTTGTCGCTGGACTCCCATGTAGTCTACGGCAGTTCAAGTCCCGGACCCAGTGGCTTAAACTCACGTCGGGTTCGTGTTCGTGCATGCCCAAGATGCCGAGAGGAGAATAGAGAAGAGATTGCGGCGAGGCCAGCCCCTCTGGGAGGTGATTTCTCGCTTTCTCTCTTGTCTCTTTCTGGCGAGCGCACCGACCAATAAGAAACGCCTCCCCCCCCAAAAGAAAATAAAATACATACAGTTCTGTCATGATATCATCTCGATTTAGACTAACCACTGCTTTACACTTTACCACGCTTCCCAGTAAACACTGTCAATGTCACTTTAGAGGAGTAAACTGTGTTTTTATGAGCATGTGGTTTTTGTGTTTGAAGTTTGTTTTGTTATGATTTAATATCATAAAGCCCGCTTATTTACTGGAGAGACAAGACACGGACAGAACGTGAGAAATCATCTCCTGGGGGTGAAGGCCACGCGGAAATCCCTTCTACATTTTTCCTCCTGGGATTTAGGAGCGCATGACTACGCACATGGTGATTTTCCAGGACTTATAACCTCAGTCCCCCGTGTGGGAATCCGGTTCCCCAACTACCACGCTGCCTGTTGGCTCCACGACCCTGTACTTCCAAGAAAGCTCTCATTCGAATACAAAGCCCCTGTTTTTCTCGCTATCAAAAGTTAAATGTTCAAGGGGATAGCTGGTGGCGTGCTGGTTAGTGAAGCTGGACCCAACTTAAAGAACGGATTGCCATTTCCCGCGGGAGACGACTCTTCACTTTCACTTTCCCTCCAGCTAGCGCACAGGCCTTAGACCAAAATATTAAGTTGGTATATGGGCTGCCAAATACGTGGATACCCTAATAAAGATCGGTAAGGACCAACCAGCTTCTTTCAGTGATAGAGTGGGTGGCTCTGAAAAGAGCCTTTGGAGTGAAGCTGCCGGCGACCCGCGCGGAAGCGAGCGCGGCGTCCCGGGAGGAGCTCACTTGGAGCTGGTGTACTTGGTGACGGCCTTGGTGCCCTCGGACACGGCGTGCTTGGCCAGCTCGCCGGGCAGCAGCAGGCGCACGGCCGTCTGGATCTCGCGGGACGTGATGGTCGAGCGCTTGTTGTAATGCGCCAGGCGGGACGCCTCGCCTGCGATGCGCTCGAAGATGTCGTTGACGAACGAGTTCATGATGCCCATGGCCTTGGACGAGATGCCCGTGTCGGGGTGGACCTGCTTGAGCACCTTGTACACGTAGATGGAGTAGCTCTCCTTGCGGCTGCGCTTGCGCTTCTTGCCGTCTTTCTTCTGGGCCTTGGTGACGGCCTTCTTGGAGCCCTTCTTGGGAGCCGGAGCGGACTTGGCCGGCTCGGGCATGGCGAGGAGCGCGAGTGGCAGGAGCTGCAAAAAAAACCGACCCGGGACGCGAGCGCGGCAGAAGGACAGGGGGCCTACCGGAAGGGACTCGGTACTTATAGAGGCTGTATGCAAATGAAGGCTCCGCGGACGGCGCGTTGTGATTCGCGAGTTTTCGGCGGCGCCAAGGCGAGGGAGCCGAGATTATGCAAATGAGCGGATCCTGGCCGAGCGACCCCATTGGTCTTCAAGACAAAGCTATGCTGCGGCCAATCAGAGCGCTCCGTGGGCGATCCCCGTTCTGCCTATAAAGGGGTGAAGCGGCGGCGTTTGGAGCGATTTCCTCGGTAGCCAAGGAGGAGCTGGTCGGTTCAGGCTAGGTGCTGTCATGTCTGGTCGCGGCAAGCAAGGAGGCAAGGCCCGCGCCAAGGCCAAGTCGCGCTCTTCCCGCGCCGGCCTGCAGTTCCCGGTGGGGCGAGTGCACCGCCTGGCTGGCCATCCGCAACGACGAGGAGCTGAACAAGCTGCTGGGCAAAGTCACCATCGCCCAGGGCGGCGTCCTGCCCAACATCCAGGCCGTGTTGCTCCCGAAGAAGACGGAGAGCCACCACAAGGCGAAGGGCAAGTGAGGCCGACGTCCGGAAGCCAAGCCCCCAGAGCCCGAGTCTCCGGGTGGCGCCTGTGAAACCAAAAGGCTCTTTTCAGAGCCACCCACTGGCTCAAATAAAGAGTTGTTACAGTAGCGGGTGTCCTGAACTGGCACCCCTCCCCCTGCCGGTGAACTCCGGGCTTGACATGTCGGTGGCACGGGGTGTCCCTTTTGCCCCTACTCCCAACCCCGACCTTCCCGAGTCGGATCTCCAGCAGGTCGGCCGCGCCCTGGTCCCCTTTTTCTGCTTGACCCGGTGGGTCGCGAACGTTCGCGTTCTCACGCAGTCGGAGGCCCCGGGACGCGAGGCGTCCTGGGCGCGCGTGCACCCAGCCAGCCTTTAAGGCTACGGGCGACACCGACCCCTTGTGTGAAATAACTGCGCGCTACGCGGCTCCCCAGTTGCTCCCTGGAGCGAGGGCCGGCGCTAGGGACGGACGTAGTGCCACCGTCGACACCCCCACCCGCCTGGCGGCAGTGGGGGGGTGGGGGGGAGGCCGAAGCGTTTCTGGGAGGGTGACGGGCCGGCTGGTCCCGCTTAGGTCGTTGTCCCGAGGGAGGAGAGGACGCCTTTGCGGCGGAGGTAACGGGCCCCCGTTTTAGCTTTCTGGAGGCAGACTCGAAGAGCACCGGACTGGCGAGGAGCAGCCGGGTGGGCCGGGTCCGGAAAGGGCACCCAGGCGTGTGCGAGGCCGGAGACCAACGCGAGGTTGGGGTCCCATGCGGGAGCTACACGGGGCAGGAAAGCAAAGGACGACAGCGGGGAGCGTGTGCTTGGAGGGCGGAGGGACTGTCTGACAGAGCTGCAACCAAAAGTGACGCCCACCCTGGAAGGCGAGGAAAAACACGCTGGGAAAAGGGTTGGCAAGCTGGAAAGGAGAGAGCGGGGCCGGGGAAGCGGGGAGTGGAGGATTCCGTCGCGGCCAGTCAGGGGCGCCAGGACGGGTGACGTCACGGCCAATGGACAGCCAGCGCGGGACTTTCAATTACTGCTCCGCCCCGCCGGGGGAAGGACGGTGCCTATAAAGACTGCTCTGGCCGCCCGCGAGCCGCTACTGTTCTCGCGGCTTGGCAGGTGAGTTCGTGCTCTGGTTCGCTATGGCTCGTACGAAGCAGACCGCCCGCAAGTCGACCGGAGGCAAGGCCCCGCGGAAGCAGCTGGCCACCAAGGCGGCCCGCAAGAGCGCCCCCGCCACGGG